CTCTTGCTCAGGCTGGTTTTGAACTCCTGAGCTCAAACAATCCGCCCGCCTCGGCCTCCCAGAGAGCTAGGATTACAGGCATGAGCCACCGCGCCCGGCCCAGGCTATTCATTCTTAATGAAAAAACTCTGTGTTTTTATTGATTGATTGATTGATTGAGTCAGAGTTTCACTCTGTTACCCAGCTAGAGCACGGTGGCATCATCATAACTCACTGCAGCCTCAAACTCCAGGGCTCAAGTGATCCTCCTGCCTCAGTCTCCTGAGTAGCAGGGACTACAGGTGCGAATCATCATGCCCAGCTAATTTTTCTTATTTTTTGTAATGACAGGGTCTCACTATGCTCCCCAGGCTGGTCTTGAACTCCTCGCCTTAAGTGATCCTCCAGCCTCTCCCATCTCAGCCTCCTAAAGTGCTAGGATTATAGGTGTGAGCCAATGCGCCTGGCCAAAAATATCTGTATTTTTGAGATTATGTAAATCAGGCTTATTTTTTGAAATCAAACTCTGTTAAGTATATAAAACAAAGTGAAAATCCCCATAATCCCATCCCCCAGTGATAAATAATTTAGTATATAGTCTTCCAATTATTTTCAGTATATATGTAAACATATCTGTTACTGTTTTTTTTTTTTTTAAACAGAATCAGATCATATTATACCTACTGTTCTGCAGCTTGCCTTTTACACATAATATGTTATAGATATCTTCTGTGCCAGTACCTTTGGAATGCCTGCATATTATTATATAGATGAGGGATTTTCATCCTCTGCACTGTTGACCTGTTGGGCTGGATAAATCTCTGTTGTGGGACTGTCCTGTGCATTGTAGGATGTTTGTACCATCCCTGGCCTCTGTCTTCTAGATGCCAGTAGCACCTCTTCCTCCAGTTGTGACAAAAATGTTTTCCAACATTGTCACATGTCCCCTGGGTGGCAAAATTGCTCCTAGTTGAAAGCCACTGATACAGATGGTCTTTATAAGCATCTAGATTGCTTCCAGTTTTTTTTTTTTTTTTTTTTTTTTTTTTTTTAAAGAGACAGAGTCTTGCTATGTTGCCTAGGCCGGAGTGCAGTGGCTATTCATAGGCACAATCATAGCTCACTGCAGCCCCAAACTCCTGGGCTAAAGTGATCCTCCTGCCTCAACCTTTCAAGTAGCTGGGACTATAGGCACATGTCACCATGCCCAAGTATGGAATATTCTTATGTTGATACTTGTGTACCTGTGTGAACATTATTGAATAAATTATTAGAAGTGCAGTTGCTAAATTGAAATTTTGATAGAAACTTCCACATGACTCCAAGAAGATAATATTTTATTTTTCAACTATATCCTGATGATTCCAAATCTACATTTCTTTCCTCAGTTCCAGATCTATAAAACCAACTGTTGATTGACCATCTCTTCTTGTGTGTCCCACAGGCCTGTCCCAAATTCAACTCTCTTCTTCTTTGCCCCCACCAAACATGCACATCAAGCCAGAAACCTCTCCCCTTTCACTGTACATTCAGCCAGTCAGCATATGCTGTCCGATCTTCCTCCTTAATGTCTCTTTTAACTCATTCACTTCTTTTCATCCCTTCTACCACTATCTTAAATTCAAGCTACTACTATCTCTTGGTCAAATATCTGTAGTAGCGTTTGGGCAACATCTTGTATTTCTGGCTTTTGGTTTTGGTCCCTAACAACTCATCCCGCCGAGGAAGAGTGAACTTGCTGCTGTACAGATCTGCAGTTGTCACTGCCCTGCTTAAGCCCTGCTACCTCTTCTATTCTATCAGTTAGATGCTGAGGCCAACAGCGCATGACATTTATCACTCTTGATTTCAAGTTTCTGTGTCCATCATAATATACTTCCCTGCATCAACTGGCTGTATAAGAGAATGTTAAAAATTTGAAGGTTTAAAGTACTTTTTTATACTACATTTTGACTTTTTTGGTATTGTATATTGGGTTCTTTATAAGGCTTCATTTTAAATAAAATTATCTCTGATTTTAAAGGTTCTTTTTCAGAAAACAATGCTCTATCATGTCACCCCACCACATGTCTTTCTTCCCTCAGCTTGAATTGCTCATTCTCCTTCGGATGTCTTCATCTTCCTCCGCCTATCCTGTTCTTTTCAACTCTGCTCTCTCTCCATCCATCTCCTCCCCTTTCCTTAGTACCTAGAGTATTTCTTGCCACTTTAACCACATATTTTCTCCTCCTTTTATCAGTTTATCCTTATTGCATTTCCCTCCAATATCCTTACTGCATTTATCCTCAAGCATTTGTGTGTGCTTGATGTATACTTTTTTATTTAACCTTGTGGAAAAGAGAACCATGTGTATAAATCAGATAAACCAGTGAACTGGGGGAAGCGGATGTGGGAATTCCAGTCCAGGTCTAGCACAAGTGTTAGGGTACAGAAAGGCCTTTTAAATATCTCATCCCACTGCCCGAACCTTGACTTCCTTAACTAGACTTTTAATTTTATGTGGTTCTATATAGCAATGTAAGTGAATACCTCACAAACCAGTTGCACTTATTTGGTTAAAATGAAAATAGAAGATCATTGTTTGTCAGCCTTGTAGTATTCCATTTTGGGATATCTTAAATACCGAAGAAACTAAGGGTACGTAGGAACCCGGGAATCTCTGTTGTGGTATGCAGTGCAAAGATTGGTATAGGGACGAGCCCTGCAATTTTCCACAAAAGAAGTCAGCTCCAAGCCTGTGGGAGATCATATATAGCAAAATCCTTGGCAAACAACCATACATTCCCCGCCCCATCCCCATTCTATGGGTAGTAGTTCCATAACACTCTGTAATTAATGTTATTTTCACAGTGGACAACCACAGAGTAAGAATAACACATAACCTGTTTCTGTTTCTTGCGATTTTAGGGGATATCACACAGAAGGGATATGAAAAGAAGAGGTCCAAACTCCTGTCTCCTTACAGCCCGCAGACACAAGGTAGGCAATGAGAAATGCTTTCAACTTTTTTAGTATTTTTACACGAAAGAAATGCTGTCTTACAAGAGATCTATCTTTTGTTCCTGTTTTTCTCTCCCTTCCTTACCAAGTAAGAGAAAGAAAAAAACGGAAGGAAGGAAAAGAGGAAATGAATCTTTATTGAGCATCTGCTGTGTGCTAGGCAGTTTAAAAATACCCAGGGTCATCAAATAATTTACACAGAGCTTGGGTGGTAGTGTATAAAAGACTCTGTGCATAATTGAGATGATTCAATGGCAGAAAATTCCAGGCCAGAGAAAAACTGAATCTTGTTTATGCTGGAGCGTGAACTGTGGTGAAGAGGAGCAAGACCTCTTCTTGGATCTGGAAAGGACAGATCCAGTTTTGCAAGGCAGCTCAAGGATTGGAGTGCTTGAGGATTTGGGGCAAGACCCCAAATGAACCTGTAGATTAATTCAGAGCCTGACCTACTCCTTCTATAAAGAGACTAGCATGTTCTTTATATATCAGAAAGTCCTGAGTCATTTTCATGCTTAATTCCAAAGGGGTTGCCCTAACCTTTGCCTCTAAGTAGGGCTGTCTCTGAATCTTTGTATTTTTTAAATTACTCAAATTCCAGGATTTCCTTTGTTAGCTTGTTTCTGCTTTAATCACTTTTACTATAAGGAATTTTTTCTTTATTGCTAATTTCCCTCCTATAATCAAAGTATGTTTTTGCAAGCTTGTTCTTTGTGGAGCTAATTGCTTTTATTACTGGATTATAAATACCATGAGGACTTTGTACATCCCACGATTCTCATAGTAAGTCTTGCACAGAGTTTATGGTCTCTTAATATTTGTTGAATGAACAATGGAATAAATTAATAATGGTGGTATACCAATATATTTCATCGAGATCCTTACTTTATTTCCTGTGTTATTCTTGTAAATGCCTTCCTACAAAAACTGTACTAGGTCAGTACAGTTACAACTAATTTCGAGTAATGAACAGGTACATGTAGAAATGAATTGAGAGAGAAGAGGTAGAAATTGGGCCAGTGACAGCTAATGAAAAGCCAGCTTTTGCTGAGCAAGGCATGACCCGGAGGGTGGGGGGTGTTAGCCTGATTTTGCTGCTTAATTGTGGATTTGGCCCATGCCTCTGAAGGCCTAGAGATTTACTTTAGTCAGTTGTACAAAAGCAGCCAGATCCCTAGAGAATAACTCAGTGAGAAATGTAACTATAAAAAGGACCATGATCTGTGTGTTATCTGTAGTCAGACTACACAGAAACTAAATCATGTTCAGAAACTGGTTTATGAGAAATCTTTATGGTCAGCACATTCTTGCCCCATGGGTGAATCTACATGGGAAGCCAAATCATAAGTAGAAGGTTGCTTAGGGAGTATGGATTTGATGAACCAGACTTTTAATTGCAGTAGGCCAAGAGGATGTGACATATCTAGCTCCCAATAGGAATGGCCTTGCAGGTGACCTCACAGAGGAAATGGAAGGTGTTCGATGACAGGTCCTTAAACTTCCTGCTACCAAACTTCAAACTTCCCACATCTGTGCCCCTTTATGTTTACCTTCTTCCTTCTGGTTAAAAAGATGATCTATCCCTCCTACCCAAGGACAGTGGTCCACCTGTGTTTTGGATACTAACTGTTCCTCTCTTTTCCCAAACCTTGTAATGGCAGTAGGAGCAGTCCACCTGGGTGCAGGTAATAGGCATACAATGTCCGTAAAGAATTAAAAAAGCAATAAAAAAAACAACAAAAAGATGGTCTGCTTTTGAGTATCCCTGTGTGCGGCAGTTCTAAACACTGTCAGTAATAAAATGTTCCTCCCGCTGAGGCAGGCAGCTGCATTGCCCCCTTGGTGTGCCATTGCTGTCAGTTCCTGGTCCCTCTCATGCATTCATATTTTTCCCTCAGCAGTTCATCATGCTCATTACTGTCCTATTAAAAAAAAACCCTCCCCTTAATTGTCAACCACTTCCCTCTTCACCCTCTCTATCACCCCTTTATAATCAAGCTGCACAGAACTGTCTATCCTTACTACCTCCATTTTCTTAACTGCTCACTTCTTAGCCCATTCTCGTCCCTTCTGGAACTATTGTCATGTAATCTCAGTAGTATTCAGCACTATCTCTTGAAACACTTCTTTCAAAGCACTGCTCATTTTCTTACCCTTCTCTTCCTGCTGCTCTTAGTCATTTTTGCAGGCTCATCCTCCTCTGGTAAATGTTGGAATTCTCAAGGCAAGACCCAAGCCCTCTTGACTTCTTATTCTGTGTCAGTGGTTCTCAAGTTGTAGCCTGCATCAAAATCACTGCAGGGCTGGTTAGTACACAGATTGCAGGTCCCCATGCTCAAGAGTTTCTGATTCATTTGGTCTAGGTTGGGGCTTGAGAATTTGCATTTCTGTCAAGTTCCCGGATAATGTTAAGGTTGCTGGTACAGAGACCATACTTCGAGAACCAGTGCTTCTATCTCCCTAGATTATTTCAGTCATCACTGTGGCTTTAATTATTATTCTAATACAAGCAACTCCCAAATATATATCTTCCACCCAGATCTCTCTTGAGCTCCACATCGAACTTGTATACTTACTAGCTCCACTTACTGTATACCTTAAAGGCACCTCCATTTCAGCATATCCAAAATTAAATTTATGACTTCTGCATACCACCACAACCACCAACCCCTCCCTATAAGCACCCCCCCAAAAACTAACCACAACATCCAGCCTGCTCCTGTGCTTCCATTCTGGTTTTCCCTTCTGAGTGAGTACAACTCGTATCCATAAGCCCAGCAAGTTAGAGGCTTAAAAGTCATCCTCAACATCCCCTTTGTCATTCCCACCTCTTGTCTGTCACCAAGTCCTGTCAGTTTTCTGTTTCTTCTTGAGCCAGTTATGGTAAATTTAATTTTTCTAGGAAATTATCTGTTTTGTGTAAGTTTTCAAATTTATTATTTACAACATTCTCTTTATTTTTAAAGCCTCTGCTTTGTTTGTATTGTTCACTTGTGTCTCTTCTCTCTTTCTTTTTTCTTGATCAATCTTCCCAGAGGTTGGTCTTTTTTTTTTTTTTTTCCGAGACAGAGTCTCACTGTGTTGCCCTGGCTAGAGTGCCGTGGCGTCAGCCTAAGCTCACAGCAACCTCAAACTCCTGGGCTCAAGCGATCCTCCTGCCTCAACCTCTTGAGTAGCTGGGACTACAGGCATGCGCCACCATGCCCGGCTAATTTTTTCTATGTATTTTTAGTTGTCCAATTAATTTCTTTCTAATTTTAGTAGAGACGGGGTCTCGCTCTTTCTCAGGCTGGTCTTGAACTCCTGAGCTCAAACAATCCGCCCGCCTCGGTCTCCCAGAGAGCTAGGATTACAGGCATGAGCCACCGCGCCCGGCCGAGGTTGGTCTTTTTGATGAACATGCTTTTGGTTTTGTTGATTTTTTTTCTTTTTTTAAGTATGTTTTTATTTTTTGATTTATTACTTTTGGCTCCTACGTGTATTTCCTTCCTTGTATTTTTTTCTGTTTACTCTTCAGTACGTTCTCTAAATTTTTTGAGTTGGGTGTTTAGGATTGTCTGTCTTCTTTCCTAAGACAAGTATTTCTTAATTTTACCATGGTCAGAGAATATGCCTAGACAAAATCAAGTCTTCTATTTGTTAGGACATGCCTAGTCTTTGGTAAATTTCTGTAACTCATCTATTTGTGTTTTTATTGTTAAGTGGATGTGTCTATGTCCATTAGCTCAAACTAGTTCATTGTGTTATTCAAGTCTTTTCTATTCTTACTTTTTTTTTTTTTTTCCGAGACAGTCTCACTCTCTTGCCTAGGCTAGAGTGCCGTGGCGTCAGCCTAGCTCGCAGAAACTTACTAACTTTTTGACTGTTTGATCTATCAATTCTGATAGAAATGTGTTGAAAAACCTGTACTGTGACTGTGAATTTGCCAGTTTTCCGTGTAATTCTGTCAAGTTTTGCTTTATATGTTTTAAAGCTATGTTACTAGGTACACTCAAATTAAGAATGATTGTCTTCTTTGTGAAATGTTCCTTTTATCCTGAGTAACTGTCTTTGTCTCTATAGTGCTTTTTATCCTAGCAGTCTGCAAAAAAAATCTAAACATAGTCTAGTGTAATTAGTCATCTTAATTCTCCTCCCAAACAGCACAAGGACTTTAGAATGCTTTAATGTTGATCACCACCACTCCCCATCTTACATTTTAGTGTCACCGTGTTTGGCATACGCTTTCAGTTATCAGTTGCTGTTTCATGTAGTTAATGATAGTTAATGTCCATTTCTTCACTATTCTTTCTTGTATTTCACTCCTTTTTCTCATCTTCCTAAAGTGCATTTTTAGTGGTTACATACTTCAGTGAGACTCTCCGAGTAGTAAATTCTCTCCGTTTGTGTTTAGCACTTTCTTTGACCATTTTGTTCTTTTTTTTTTTTTTTGAGACAGAGTCTTGCTTTTTGTTGTCCGGGCTAGAGTGAGTGCTGTGGCGTCAGCCTAGCTCACAGCAACCTCAAACTCCTGGGCTCAAGCAATCCTTCTGCCTCAGCCTCCCGACCATTTTGTTCTTGAAACTATGTCTTTCCCAAGAAGAAATGAGTTGTAGTATTGGGTAATCTATATTATACAGATTCTGTAGCAAAAGAAAAAATTACTCCTTGGCATATTTACCCCATATATCTTTGTAGATTTTCAAGAAGACATTCAGTTTGATTTTTTAAATGCCATTGGAATCCAAATTTAAAACTTAGTAAATTATATTAAAGTCTGATAGAAAATCAAACGAAACGAAAATTAACACTTTTGGTAGGAGCTTTCTGTAATACTTCTTTCTTCTAGAGGGGTTGAACTTCTTCCAGATTCTTTCCATTGCCTTCTTAGATTTCATTCATTCCTATTGTAAGATGCTTCATTGTGAAGGTGGCTACTTGAGTATAGTGTATGAAAGTAACATTTCCCACTAATATCTGTTCCAATAAAAGATTAATACCAC